AACCCAGCAATATGTTTTAAAAGAACAAGTCCTTTCCTGCCCCACTTAAAGGATGAGCACAAATCTTGTTAAGTACCTTCCCAATCAAAAATTAAAAAGGCTTGGTAAACAAGTGTCTTTTTGCCTGTTGCCTAAAGACAGACAACAATAGCACCAGGCATTCTTCCCTGGTAAGACCATTCCAAAGGTAGGGAGCCACCACTGAAAAGGCCAGTTCTGTGCCACCACCCTCCATGCCACAGAAGACTTGGCCTCTGACGGCAAACACAGTACTCTGTGGAACACACTTCAGGCACAGTAAGGGATAGGTGTATGCAACACCAGGCTCTCAGATTGACAGGCAGTATGAAGCCCCTGGTTTGGTGAGGCCTGGTAGAATTCCAAGAAGCCATACCTGCTGCCCTGCTGGTTAACAGAGCGAGGACCACTTGCACTCCCAGCCTCTCGCTCCAATACAGTGGTACCTCTGGATGCGAATGGGATCCGTTCTGGAGCCCCGTTCGCATCCTGAGCAGAATGCAACCTGCGTCTGCAGGTCACAATTCGCCGCTTCTGTGCATGCGCGTGACGTCATTTTGAGCGTCTGTGCTTGCGCGAGCGGCAAAACCCGAAAGTAACCCATTCCGTTACTTCTGGGTTGCCACGGAATGCGACCTGAAAATGCTCAACCTGAAGCGTCTTTAACCCGAGGTATGACTGTAGTCTTTATTGTTATTTTTATTATTTATTAACTTTATATACTATCTTTCATCCGAAGATCACAGGTCGGCTCACAGCACCAAAATACAAAACGAAAACACAAAATGTCTAGTTGGGTTGGAGAACTTGCATTCCTACATGTCCTTTGGATATGCGGTCCTGGTGTGACCCCAACACAGAAGGTGCCCTAATAACTTCCCCGCTTTTCTTCCAATGTCTTAGGCTTCCGCCTCTTCTCCTCATCAGTGCCAGGAGACTGTGGGAGCCAGAACCTCAGGCTGTGGGAAGGCAGCGACAGCGGTACCTGCAGCTCCAGGTGAGATGCTGCTCTGGCAGGTGTGCATGACAGAGGTGGAGCTGGCCAGCCAGGCAGCTGGCTTAGAGGCTGCAGCTGATGACAGGACTCATCTCTGATGGGGAGGTCTGGCATTTTACACATCCTGCAGCAGGTGGTGGGGATCCCAGGCCGCCCACCCAGCCGTGTCCGACCCTTGCGATGCTCCCAAGGCTACCCCCTCCCTTCCCCAGCACTTGGGATTCCCAGGTGTGTCAATAGTGATTAATTTATAATAAGCATGGCTAGTAGTCATCCATACCCCTCTTCTCCGTGAATTGGTCTGATCCTCTTTTTAAAGCCATCTTAAGTTGGTGGCCGCTGCCGCATATTGCAGGAGCGAATTCCAAGGTTTTAACTCTACCACCGTTTTGCCTGTAACTCTTTCCAGTGAGCAGGACAGTGACGAAGAATGGCAGAGGTGCCAGGAAGCCACGGTGACAGCAGCAGACATCCTGAAACATAGCGGCCTCCCAGCAGTGCTCCAGAATTCCAGCCAGGACCACCACTGCCCGGCCACGGAGCCCAGCCAGAAGAAGAAAAGGAGGAAAAAGAAGGCAAAAATGAATGGCGAGAACAGCAATCAGCAGGAGGCCAGAGAAGGAGCATGTCATGGGACTGAAGGGCCCTCGGGCTTCGATGGAGCAAGCAGGAGAGGAGAGAACGCGAGTACGGAGGATAGGGCAGTGATGAAGAAGAGGAAGAAGAAGAAGAAAAGGGGGAAAGTGGAAATAAGGATGGAGTGATGTTTTACAGACACTTGGTACTAGGAAGAGCTACCTGATGTGGCTCTTGATTGGTCTGGCCTGCATTGAAGGAAACACAGTTGTTGAATTTTATATTTTATGGAATCAAAGAACTTAGTTTGGCACTCCCTGCCGCGAGGGATGCCCTGTAAAAACGCAGAGGAAACTCCCCATGTTACAGAGAATGAGGACTTGTTGGAGCTGCTTACTGGACTGCTCAGGTGGGCAGTGGGTGGGTAAGACATCCGTGGATGGCTCTCCTGGGTCCCTTTTTCCCCCCCCTTGGGCCTGCGCAGCTTGTGACCTCCCAGGCTGCCTACTAGCCATGGATCCAGTTCTCCCAAGTGCTCGACAAATCTCTCTACTTTTATATTCTCAAGCCACAAAACCAAGAGGTTCATCGGGGCCCCTGCTCAGCTCAGCTGCCCCATGTGGCCAGTGGGCTATGATCAACTTGGTGGGCAGGCTGAACAGAGCTCGTCATCGTCAAACACTGATAATAGCATTGGATGGGTGCCTTCCTGACAGGCATGTCACAGTTTGATGCAGACTGATTCCATCTCCCCTGTAATGTCGTCTCAGGGATATTTCTTTTTTAAAAAAAAAATAATTTTTTTAGTTGATTTTCTTTTTTTCATAACAAATATCCAATATCAATAACATTCATTTTCCAATTTCCCCCCTCCCTATTGACTTCCCTCGGCTTCCATTTCTGGTTTATTACGTCAGATGTTACATTCTGCTGTTTGTATAAAGTATTGTGTTGTCACATTGTTAAATAAAGTTGTAAGTGTTTATTTAAATCCTGCCAGCGGTCCGTTTTTTTGTTGTTTCTGCAAATATGTTGTAAAAGGTTCCCATTCTTTTTCAAAATCACTATTGTCCTTTTAACGCAGTTTATCCATTAACTTTGCCAACTCTGCATATTTCATCAACTTTTCTTGCCATTGTTCTTTTGATGGTATTTCTCCAGTCTTCCAGTTTTGTCCTATTAAGATTCTTGCTGCTGTTGTAGCATACATGAATAATGTCCATTTTTCTTTTGGCAGCTCTTGTCCTAAAATACCTAACAGAAAAGCTTCTGGTTTTTTACAAATGTTATTTTAAACATTTTTTCCAATTCATTTTATATCATTTCCCATTTTTAAAAAATAATCTTACAATCCCACCACATATGGTAAAATGTACCTTCCCTTCTTTACACCTCCAACAGTTCTTTTATTCTGTTTTATACATTTTTGCCAATTTTGTTGGTGTCACATACCACCTATACATCATCTTCATATAGTTCTCTTTCAACAATATACAATCCGTAAATTTCAAATTCACTTTCCAAAGCCTTATCCAATCCTCAAATTGTATATTGTGACCTATATCCTGTGTCCACTTAATCATTAACTTCTTCATCTTTAGTTTCCCATTCCAAAAGTATATTATACGCCTTCTTTAATAATTTGGACTTATCATCTATAACATCCTTTTTGCAATTTGGAAACTCTGTAAGTGAATCTTCCCTTGTTATCCTCTTTGAAGATTTCATTTAATTGTCTGTGGGTCTCAGGGATATTTCTGACCATGAGCTCCATGGTGTAATTTTGGCTGCAGTTGCCAGGCATGCAGAAGCAGCTACTTCAGCTTCTAGTGATGAAATGACTGCTGAAAATGTCCTTGCTCAAGGGCTGTCAGAAGGGCCTGCGCAGTTGAGTTCACAAATGGTTTCTGGCGTTCCAGTTAGTGTCTGCTGCAGCTACAGTTTTACTGTAGCACGTACAGAATGGTTGAACCTTATGCACAATTAACTTGTGGGATTTCAGCTGCTTGCAGTTAACCTTGCACGGGAAAGGAGTTTTAGCTCTCTTCCTTGCTAGAGGGGCAAGACCCACTGAGCATGCCGGTTCTGGGATGCTCTTGTGAGATCTCGTGGGACCGTCAAAGTTCCCATGAGATCTCACATGACCATCCCTGGCCTTCCGTAGTTTGTTCTGTGTCCTTCCTGCCCACCGACCCATTATCAAATTTATTTTTGTATGATATTAAATCTGCTTGAAGTGGGGTCAAATTTAACCAGAGCCGTCTCTCTCCATCTCCTTTCACAGAGGTTGATCTACCTTAAAAAATCTACCTTCACTGCACTTGCTCTGACGCCTGGTAGCTAATGCAGGGCAACTTTTCCAATGGGAACTTGGTTGTCCTCAATATCATAACCCACTTAGAAGCAGCAGGAAGGCACTGTGATGATTCTGAGGGTTTCTGCGGAGCTGGCCCTACTGTTGGGCAATGGCCTCAAGTTGCGGGTGCTGCAGAGAGAACGTGTTTGAGAGCAGAGCTGTGTGTGCCCTGCAGCCATTAAGCTAGCCTGCTCCTCTTAGGTAGAGTGCTCCTCTTACGGAGCGAATTGTAGAGAGCTCTACAATTCCATTATTATTTTCCATTATTATTATTATTTTCCATTACTATTATTATTTTCCATTATTATTGTTATTTCCCATTATTATTATTATTATTTGTTTGCCAAGTGACTTACAACAAAGAAAAATATACAACAACAACAACTGTCGGGTTCAGGGAGAGAGGCACAGGGTAGGCAGGAGATGGAGAGCGATGGGGAGGAATTCCAAGCCAGCGAGGAAGAGGATGACAATGACTCAAGAGATTCCATGAGTCTTTCCAGCGAATCAGAGGATTCCCAGAGGGGGCGCCGGTGGTCAAGGCCAGGGGAGCCCCAGGGGGGAAGTGTCAGGAGCAGGGTGCCAGCGGAGGATCCCAAAGTGGCAGCTGGGCGTCAGGACCAGCCTCCCCACCAGAGTGCAGCGAAGGGGGTGGAGTTTCCAGTGTGTCAGAGGAAGCAGCTCCAGCAGCAGAGAAAGGAGGGGGGGTCAGAGCAAGCCGCCCTCCCGGAAGGGGAGGGGAGCAGTGAAGGGAGTAGTGTAACTGTCAAAAGGAAAGTTAGAGGTTTGGCGCGCGCGCCTAGTTCAAATGTAGAGGCGCGCGGAAGTGCAGGGAGCCCGGAGGAGGGGCCAGGTCCCAAAGCCCGCAGGAGGGGGGAAGAGCAGTCTGATTCCGCGTCAGAGGAATCCAGGAGGGGCGAAACCCCAGTGGGCAGAAGGACCCTGCGGAAAAGGAAGGAGAGAAAGAGGTGGAGCAGCGCAAGTCTCTTAAATTGGTGCAGGGGAGGAACTGACTCAGAGGGGACTTCGGCGGTCTAGCGTAAGAGACGTAAGGCTGCGCGCCTAGGATGTCAAGCAAACCATGAACTGCAATAAACACTTTTGTATATAAGAAGACATAGGCGTTGGTCTTTTGTGAGCTAAGACTTGAGGCAGCCTTGACAGTAAGTCCCCTCTCAAAACAAAAAACCGCAAAAATTTTTTTTTGCACAGCTCACGAAGTTTGGCAGCAATGACTACTGAGGAGCAGATAGCGTCCCTGCAAAACGCAGTCACCGAGCTCTCCACTGCTGTCGTGGTTTCTCAGAAGACAGTTGCTGAAGCAGAAGCGCGATGCCAGGATCTGCAAGCCAGGTGGGATCGGGCGTGCAGAGAGGGGTTCCCGGGGTCCAGATCAGAGGGAATCGGACTCGGACGGAGGGGGCAATTTAGTAGCCCACTTCGATGGGAACCTGAAGCATTATCCCAATTTCAGAGCAGACGTCGTATACGCACTGCATTTACTTCGAAAAGACTTCAAAGATGAGGAGGAAAAAGTGGGGTTTATTGTGTCTCATCTGCATGGGGAAGCAAGAAACTGGTTACGCAATTTGTGGCGCGAAGATGGTCTTGCACGCAGGGACTCTGATGAATTTCTCAAAGCCATGGACGCTTGCTTCCAATCTACTGTTGACGTTGATGTGGCACGCCAGGAGATGCATGGATTGCGGCAGGGCAAGGCTACAGTGCGTCAGTACCATTCTCGCTTTTGCATTGCTGAATGTGCTGGGCTGGGAAAAGGACTCCCTGGCAGTGAGGGACTTGTTTTGGGAAGGGCTTCATGGCTCAGTGAAAGATGAGCTGGCTAGGGAGACAGACCTCAAACCCTAGCAGAAGTCGTGCAGAGGGCACTCACGATAGGGGTGCGCCAAGAAGAACGCCCTTGGCACAGGGAGGAGGGGCGTCACGTCCGCCCACCAGCTAGAGCGCCTCCTTTTCCTTCCAGGGACTTGGAACGTTCAAGCCTTTCGCCTGTGCTGGCAGCGGGGAAGAACCGATGGAACTGGGTGGTGCAAAGGCTCAGACAGCTGCCGGAGCCTCAGCGTCAGGAGCAGTCAAAGCGAAGCCTCCTAGAGGGACCAGGAAGTGTTACATCTGTGACAGTGCACGGCACATGGCTAAAGAGTGTCCCCAGAGGCTCCAGAAGCACACTGCAGCCTTAGCAACAGTAACAGGGGAAGCTTTCCAAGGGGAGCAGTTTCAGGGAAACGAGAATGCCTGGTTGGAGGGAGAGACGCTGGGGCTCCGCCAGGCAAGTCAGTGAAGCAGTCCCCAGCGCTTTTGCAGCCTACAGACCCCTTACCACCTAAGCCAGTGGTGCAGCTCACTGCTACTCTCCAGCTGCCTAATGGACTCACCCTGGAAGTCCCCATTACGATTGACTCAGGGAGCAACGCAGACTTCGTGGGGGTGCAGTTCGTCAAGCAGCATCGCATAGCGCTACTACCAGCCACGCTGCCTCTGAATGTGGTCACTGTAGATGGCAGGAAGTTGCTGGGTGGGCAAGTGGTACAACAGACGCCACCCATGCTGCTGAAAATTGGGAATCATCGCGAGGTCATCAGTTTCAATGTCACCCAACTGTCAGACACGCCCATAGTGTTAGGCATGAGTTGGCTGGATAGACACAGCCCATCCTTGGCGTGGTACCAGCGGCAGCTCACCTTTGGCTCGTCCTACTGTGCACAACATTGCATCCAGATCGGCCAGGACGAGGAGGGCCAGGAGGAAGGGCAACAGCTGCATCTAGGCATGGTGCAGGCAGTGCCCCACAAGTACAAGGGGTTTTTGGAG